TAAGCTCCATTTTTACATAATCCATAATTATAATAAGTATATCTCCTCTAGGTAATTTTAATTATTAACTTAGGCATATTAACACATTGATATTCTAAGACCATAGCTTGTTACACCAAGTTACAAGTTGATTAAAGCCTTAGACACAAATCGAACCTTAATCCATTATTATTTAATTTTTTCAACCCTAAACCCTAATTATTCTCTAAATGGCCGAACCATATACATCACTAACCTAGGATTTTCTTTCATTAATCCACATGGTCATGTGTCCTTAAGTCCATCCTAAACTTAGGCTACCATTTAGTTCCTTAATTAGGTTTAATTAACAAACCCTAATTAGGTTTAATTAGGAACCCTAGGTTACTTTAAATTTTAGGGTTTATCCTTAATTAAGTTCATTATGAAATCTCACTTAGTCATATTATGTCATGGTACCTCAAGTTCACTAATTGTACGATTAGTGCTCCTAAACCCTAATTAGGTCAATTTTTAGGATTTAATATTTAATTAGTGTATTAAGCATAATTCACCTCACTTAACCACTAGCTTAGTGTCCTAATTAGGTCTTATTATTAATTTTAACATAGTGACCCACTTTAAACCCACATGGCTGAATTGCTTAGTGTGCAAATTAGGGTTTTTAAGCTTGTTTCTTTGTCCTTTCTTTAGTTAATTAGTCCCTACACTTAATTAATCCACTAATCCATGATTTTCTTATTTTTAACATAACTAATCCACCTTATACCAAAGGGGGCGGATTTGATTATTTATGTTTATTAGAGTTTTTAGCCATCCTTAATCAAGATTAGTAGGTTTCACTTAGAGATAATCCACTTAATTAATCTTTCTTAGTTCCTCTTAAGATTTTTCCACACTTAACAACCTCTTAACATTTTTTAGTCATCAAACCTTAGTTCTCCATGAAATGGCCGAACCTTCATGTGTCTCTTTTAGGGTTCAAGTTCATCATTTTCCATGAAATTCACACAAGGATCCAAAGGTTGCACCTTTACACATCAAACCAACCATTTCTTGGTTCAAAACTCTCACACACTCAAGAACAATCATCAAAACCCTTACTTTAAATTTTTTCAACATTATTCTCCCCACCCCCATACAAAACCGAGATGGACAAGAGGAGAGGAAGGATTTTGGGTCATCTTTTTCTCAAAGTGGTGCTTACTTCTTCAAGCTCACACCTTTAGCTCCAAGCTTCACTTTTTACCAACAAGGATGCTCCTTTAAACAATAACACACCTTAAAAAATATGCTCAAGAGTGAGAGCTCAAGAACACAAGAGAGAAATATGAGGTTTTTCAAGAAAAATTTAGAAAACTTACACTAAAACTCAAGAAAACCAAGCACACAAGTGTTGTTCTTTAAGAGAACTTAAGAACACAACTTCATGGCCCTTGGAGCTTCAAAAACCGTGGATGTTCTTGGGTGTGAGGGACACAAAATTTTGCTTCACACCATGAAAATGGTATGGTTGTGAAGAGGAGAGTGAGGGGAGCAAGTTTGGTGAATGAGGTTTAGTGATTTAGAGAGGTTTTGGAGGAGAAATTCTAGAAAGAAGTGAGTGCAAAGTTTGAATTTTGGATTTTAGAGAGAGAGAGAGAGGAATGGGGAGGAAGCTTGCTGAATGGGGAGGGAAGGGATGATGCCCTAATTAGGGATGCCATATCACTTTAGTGGCACTTTGTCCTCTAGTAAGATCCAGAGTAATTTTTATCTGAACCGTTGTCAAATTTTTACCCAGAAACCCCCAAGACTCTAACTTTAAGTACTTAACATTAATTTTGTCTAATTATCATGTTCATAACTTAAAAATTTGATTAGTAAATCACAGATCCACTAACAGTTGTTTAATTGCACTGTAGTCTTTACCGGTGTTCTTAATTGTACCCGGATTTCATAATCTTCTTAACTTTAATATTATTGGTCTAATTATGACTTGTTAGGCATATATTGGTATTTCTTTTCATTTTCTCATCTTTTTCCCGTTCTGGGATTCTACCGGCTGCTTCTAAGCAATACAAAATACCCGGCATAAATGACTTTTCCAAAATACCACAATATGGGTAACAAACTTCATCAAATCATATACTAACCTCATTCATGATGTTTACAACATTATATTAGCTCTCTAACTATAATTTTCTAACTTGGAGCTATTCTACTGACTATTATTACGTCAACAGTAAAAAATGACAGATGACAATGAACCGCCCCGAATCGGATTAGTTGCGAAGCAGTGAACTGATTGGAATATTTCAAAAAAAAAAAAATGACATACACTTTTTCCATATATATATATATGTGTGGAAAAAAGGTGTGTCATTTTCAATGACACATCTTACATCCTTTCACTCTCACAAAGAGTTGGGACCCACATCTTTAAAACTGTTTCCCCCACCCTCTCTCCTCATGATTTATCTCTTTCTCTCACTTAAAATGACACAACTTTGTGTCCTTTAAAATGATACACATTTTTCTCATATATATATATATATATTTTATTTTTTAATTAATGTAGACAAGTTATCTACATGGGAGTGGATCCGCTCATGTCGAAAAAGACATGACATGATCATGTGGGCAATCATAATCATATAAAGGTGGATCAATGGTGATAAAAGATGAGAGAGAAAAAATATTAAAATAAATAGTTTCTAAATCATAATCGTTGATTTAACTTTGTATGGTTATGATTGTCCCACATGACAATGTCATGTTTTTTTTAAACATGAGAATATCCATTTTCTATTTACATTGGGCCCAAAACGACATCGTTTTAGGGAGAAAATCAAAGTAATTATCATTTATTTCAGGATTATAATAGTCTTTCTCATTATAATTTTTTAAACTTTCAATGCAAAACGATGTCATTTTGAGAATAAATATAGATAACTTATCAATATTTACTGTATAAACATTAAAGCCATATATAAGGTGTGAGACCCACTTCAATTTACTCAAAAAGGTGTGAGACCCACTTCAATTTTTTTTTCTCTTTTCCTGTACAATAGGACCACATAAGTTTTGTGAGTACAACATGAGATATCTTATCTCCTATTGTATAAGAATATATATATATAGGAGATATACTTGAGATATATTTATGTCTGTCTACCAAAAAATTATGTCATTTTGTTTTATTTATTTTTTTATATTAATTGATTCACCTTTGAATGGTTATGATTCCATTTTTTTCTCTCTCTCCTTTCATCACCATTACCATTGATCCATCTTTATATGATTATAATTTACTAGTCGGAGATAAAATTATCTCAAACAACTTGAAAAACAATAAGCCATATATAGGGATAAGATATTCTACCTACCATTTTTTCTGCCTACCACTCTCCAACACCGTTAGATCAGAATCTCAAGAAGAGAGGGAAATATAAATATTAATTAAGATTCTGATCTAATGATATTTTAATATGATAGACAGAAAAAGAAATAAGTAGAATAATCTATCATATATATATATATATATATATATATATATATATATATATATATTCCTCGTTCTATGGATTTATTTAGCCTATTTAAAAGACTTAAATCATTGTCAGTCTATTTAAAAATAGGTTTATTAATTTATTCGAGAGGTCTGACCCGTTTAGACACACTAATCTATTCACTTATAGATCTATTGGCATTTGGCCAATTTGAAGGCCCTGATACGTAATAAGTCTTAAAAAAAAGGGCCGATTGTAGGTGCTATTACGTGTTAAACCGAGAGCAAAACCACTCCCATTTATGAATTTGTTTTGTCATTTATTATTGTTAATTCCACGTGTTTGCACAGCAAAAAATAAAAGCAACAAGATACGTACGATATATTAGATGGGAGTTAAAAAAAAAAAAGGGGTAAGAAAAGCAACAAGTGTGGGCGAATCAAAATAAGAAACGCAATTTAGTGAAATGACGAAAACAGGCTTTGAGTCCATCCACCGAGCCTCACATCGAACCTCCATGAGCTTCCGTTTTCTTCTTTTCCCTCACCGCAACACTTTACAGCCAACTCCTCGCTTTGTAACTAATTAATGTTAAGATTAATATTTTTATCTCCTCTACACATAAATGTATAGATAATATTTTTCTTATCTAACGGGAGAGAATTTTTTTTTTTCCATCAACAAGAAATATGAAGTCCATAAATTAAAAAAAAATAATAAAAAAAGAAATTATAGACAAGTCTTTTTATTTTTCTATAACATGAAATAATTATCTCCTACAATTGAAGAAAATAATTTCCCTAAATGTATATGTGGTTATATTTTTCTCTCTTTTTTTTTTAAATAATTTTGTCAAGTTTTTTATATTTTTGTGTAGAATTTTTATATTGTAAATGAGAACGTTAATATTAGAGAAATATATTTATTATTGACATAATTTTATATTATTGTAAATAAAATAATTGTATTTTGTATTTAAGAGAAAGAAATAAAGAGTTTATGTGAAGGAAAAAAACCACTAAAATACTATTATTTTTTTTAAATGATACAAAATTATATTATTTAAATTAAAAAATATTTTTTTCTTAATATTATTTTGGATTTAGTGTTTATTTTTTTAAATAACATAAAAGAAATATATAATTCATACGCAAGAAAGTAGATATTTTTTTCTTAAATTATTATTTATTATATAAACACGCAAATAAATACTGCCATCATAATAATAAAAAAATATATAGTTGCATACCCAAAATCTCAATCTCATTGTTGTTGGTGTGGAGCAACAGCGAAGAGCGCAAATAGCTCTCAGCAATGCCTACCCAGAAGCGTTCTTTCTCTGACTCTGTTGACGATGGCGACACTTCGCAGCAGCACCTCTACCATCCCCGCCATGTTAAACAACAACCCCACCGTGACCCACACTTTAAACCCAACGAACAACAACAACAACAACAACAACAACAAGAACAAGAGCATCAGCCACATGAAGAAGATGAGGACGATCATGATGTTGAGCAGCAGCAGCAGCAGGAGGAGGAGCAACAAGAAGAAGAAGAAGAAGAAGAAGAACAACAACAACAAGAAGAAGCAGGGCAACAACATAACCACGACAAGGACAAACCACAGGGTTACGTATCAGTGTTTTTTTTTTTTTTTTTTTTTTTGGGTTTTTCTCTCGTGATTGCATGCTTTTTCAATGCCCCAATTGATTTTCCTCAACTGGGTTGCGCTTTGTTTTGCCTTTGCGATTATTTATGTTCTCAAGTTTTATTCTTTTTTTTTTTTTCTCTTTTCAGATTCCGACGAAACCCCATCTTCTGGCTCCGAAGAAAAACCCGAGTTCTCCCTCTCTCTCTCTTTTATACGCATTGCTTCAAAACTTCTGCTTTGTGCTTTGTTACTTGGTTTAGATTCACGTTTCGATCCCATGTCTCTGTTTCGGGGTAGCTGCTGGTTGTGAATTTTGCCATTTCTGTGCTTCTTCCTTTGAATCTGAACGCTTCTATTATGGTTTTTGGTGGGTTTCCTTCCACTGTACTGTGGGATGCTTACTGTTCGTGTGGTTTGAGTTGGGGTGTCTGTATTTTCTGAATCTCCCCCCATTTGATTCGTCGGAGTTCGTTTGCATGTTTGGATTTTCGTCTTGTTTATGATTGAGACTAAGTTCGTTCGTTATATCATCAAAGAAAGTAATTATTTTGGCGTAGATTTTGTTACTTAGTGCAAGTAGATGAATCCTTAGTGTTATTTTTCACAGCGTTGGATTAAACATCAATCAGCATGGCACCTTGGATCTCATTCCTCCAGAGGTGGATGAGTTCTTTCCTTTTAGTTTGTGAAATGCCACTGTTAATAAACTTACGATTTACGAACTATATTAGCCTTCGTAGAGTGGGTAGAGCTCCAGTGTTGTGGTTCAGAATGTTCTAAGTTGCCTTATATAAACTCTACAAATTGTGTTGATTTGTGTGCCAAACGTTTCAAATCAAATTATTTGAAGCCTTGTCATTATTATTTGGCTTAGTAACAGTGGTCAACTTTTGAATGTCACGGGTTTGGGACAGTGATTAAATAAACTCCTAATAGTTTGTCAAGTAGTTGTTATTGCTTCCCTGATGCTGTATTTCATAATTAGTGCAGTTGCTTAAATTACTTGACTTGTCCTCTGCATTCCTTCAATGTTTGTCCAAGTTTGTCAAAGGCAAAAGGCGCAGGGAGGTTTCATGCCTTGAGGCAAGAGGGGATAACAAATCATGTTTCCCCGAAGAAAGGTGTTAGCATTAGAACAAGAAGAAAATACTTAAATGTTTGCCATTTTGCATTTTTTTTATCGTATAAATTAACTGTAAGCTGCTTGCTGCTAATAGTCCCAAAGACTGACAAATGGTTACTTTTTAACATTATGACTATTTTACCCCTTTAGCATAACATTTCAGAAGTTAGATAGCTGCGCTTTTTAGATTTTTCTTTATGGTTTTCATAAAGCCCTAAAGGCGTGCCTTCCTGAACCAGAATGGCAAGCCCAAGGCATATGCCTCAATCAACAAGAGATGCTGGCCCCTTTTGTTGCCTTGTCTTAGTGTCTTAGTCACACCTTTAGGTGCCTTTGACTACACTGTGTTTGTCATCTGAAAAATTGAAATTCATAGTAGTTTGATGCTTTATCATAATGTTGACCAGTGATATGTTCTTCATTCTACAGTGCATTAGGATGAGTTCTTCTTTGGACTAATTTTTTCTCAATGTTGTCTTGAATATGTTGATTAGTCAGTTTGCATGAAGTTATGGATGGATGGCATGAGTACATTCACCAGATAGAAAAAAGAGAAGTGGTTGCATGTATATAGGGAGTGATTTAATACTTGTTCCTGTTGCAGCTTATATTCTCCAACCATCACTATAATTGTTTAGGTTTCATCTGTCACTATCTCATGTCTCTTACAAAACATTTGAATAATGATTCTGTTACTGTTCCCTTTTCCATTGGGTGGAGAAAGGAAACAACCAAAAAATTGATCCATCCACAAGCTATTAGGTTTTAATTTATCTGTATGACATTGTTCTGTGATTTAATTAAGCTTATGTTTTTTATGAAGAATTGAAGATCCAATTTAAACATTTTTTTCTCTCCTTATGAATATATTGCTTGAAATGAGTAAATGATCTTACAAACATGCTGTAGAACAGTAGAAGTTCTTGATAAAGATTTGTGTGTTTGAAGGTATCTAAGCTTAATGGCAAAATCCAAATGGGATTGATTAATACTCAGTGTTGGAAAAATATATAATTTCTGCATGTTGTGATAGGAAATGATAATTCAGAATATCATTACTTCGGTTTATGATTTTTATGAAGGCCGGATCAGTATCTGTGCATAAAGCAAGTTTCAATCTTTATAAGTTCTTAACTAGCTATGTCCAAAATACAACTAATGTGAAATTACAACTGTGCTGTGATTGATGGTTTTTTCTTTCTTGGAGGAATCATTTCTTAGCTAAGTTCAGTGGAATTCAAAGTTTGCATACATTAATGGCTTATTGTAAAAGTGTGTTTAATATATGCAAGTCCTTAATAATAATTGTAAACGGTCTTCAGAGGATGAGATCTTTTTTGGTGGAAGATGGTGAAGAATGTTTATCATTTACAATATTGGGAACTATTTTAAATATCCAAAACGAAAAGTTGACTCTGGATATCTACAAGACTGCAACCAAGTTCGAAAACTGTATTTCTGCCGCCTTTGACATTATTAGCTGTTTTGTGAAAAGTGGCTGCTAGGTGTGATTTTTTTTTGTTACAGCAGCTTAGAGAATTTAGATGATCAAGATGGGTAATGGCCATCGTCTAGTATTAACAATGTCTTAACTCTCAACTATTAAAAAGCTGCTAAATTTATTTTATCGGCTATCTAGGACTTCATAAGATTTTTTACTATCCAATTGGTAGTTATATGTCATAATCCTAAATGAAATTGTTCTTTGTATCAATTTTGTGTAAATATATGCTCATGCTCTTGGTTTGTTTGCAGATTCGTGTTTGTAGAACTTCAGGAAATTCGTAAAGATGTCCAATGTCCAATTTGCCTTGGTATGTTTTTGTTTGACCTTTTTGGATGGCATAGTTGAGCAGTTAATTGTATGTGATTTTGATTTTGCTATTGTCAAAATGTGCTCAGAGCTATTGGGTAGGATATACTTCCGTCATTGTCAATTCTATGTGCGGAATGATGTACAGTGGCAAGCAGTTATGTTTACTTCAAGATCATGATGTGTGATCGAAAGCCTTCTATGCTACTGCTGCTTTTATTTTTTTGTTACGAGGAGAGGGAATGTAGTAGTATATTTGTTATTTCTGTAGATAATAGTAGAATTGTTACTGATCTTTAGTAGGCGACTAGGTGATTATGATTCTGAAACTATTACCAGTCTTTATTAGATTCATATTCTCTATTGTTGCTTATACTATTACCTACTTTATATTTGGAAACTTGATCATGGAGAAATAGATATAATTTTATACTTCTTATCAGTTGGTGCGTGAAAAGAACATAATGGACCATAATGTAATGGTTCCGTTCAGTTTTGTTCTTCTTGGCTTCACTACCATTTTATAATCCCATGCGAAATTCTGTCCTATTTTAAATATGCACCAAATATAGAACCAAGCTCATATGTTTTGTTCTGTCCCTTTCTAACTAGTCTACTAAATGCTACTGTCTTATTTTGCTGAGGAGCTAACCAAGTATTTTTAGTGCTTCAACAGGTATTATTAAGAAAACAAGAACTGTCATGGAATGCTTGCACCGGTTTTGCAGGGAATGCATTGACAAATCGATGCGACTAGGGTAGGTCACATAAAGCCATTCCAAGCTTTTTAATTTGTTTAATATGCAACTAATAATTGCAATTTAAGTCCTCCTTATCTCTATCATGCTCATCAGAAAACACGTTATAATCTCTGTATGCAGCCAGATTTATCATTTATGTATTATCTCAGGAACAATGAATGCCCTGCTTGCCGCACACATTGTGCAAGTCGTCGTTCTTTGAGAGATGATCCAAACTATGATGCCCTTATTGCCGCTTTATATCCAGATATTGAGAAGTATGAGGAAGAGGTATGAGTTGACCGGTTTATTACTTCATATTTGATTGTGTTCAAACAGAACTTTCACAAAATTTAACTCGTGATACCACACACTGGTCCATTGCAGGAGCTTGAATTTCGTGAAGAGGAGAAGAATCGCAATAAGCAGGTGAATCTAATTGAATAAACATATTTAAGCATGGTTTCAGCTTTCAGATGTGTACACAATAATTACACTAGTGATGCCACTTTTAATTAATTGATGTTGAGTCGTTCATGGCTGCCATGGCAATGGCATACCAACTCCTAAATACATATCAAATGAATTTTTTTTATTGCTCAGGTTTATGCTTATTCCTTTTTTACCTTTCCTCTCTTTTCCCTTAATCTTTTCTTGCTTTTTATTTGGGTTCATCGATTGCCCACCCCAACTAGTTTGGGATAAAGGTTTTGTTAATGTCTATCCTCATTCCTTATTCATATTGAATCTTATCAGTCGTCAGTCAACATTATATCAATTATCAAATCTTAGCATTCTAGCTTTTCTGGCAGATTCAAGCTTTGATAGCAAAAGTAGTTCAACGGCAATCTGAAGCACTCGTTAAGAGACGTAGAGATACACCCGGAACATTTGTGACAAGATCACAGCGTAATCCACGAAACGTTAATTCAAGGAGACAAAACCAAGCGATTGATCTTCAAGGATCTGAAGATAATGAGGAGGAAAATGACAACAATGAAAAAGACTCATCTTCTGCTGATGAGCGGTGTACAGAACTCCGGCAGAGAAGGCGAAAGAGATGGACCAGAGTTCGTCCCTCTCAGCCATCATCATCGATGGCAAGTCCTGATGGCGGATGCATAGAAAGTGATATGGATATAAGTAGAGAAAATCGAGGAATTTCAAGGCAGGTGTCAAAACCTCGAAAGCTTACTTGGGGACGGGGAGGTTTTAGAAGTCACACAAGGCATGGAGGCGGTGGTGGTAGCAGTAGCAAAAGTTCCCGCAGTAGTCGATTGTCTAAGTTGGTTGATCATCTCCGAAGCTTGGATGAAAACACTAATGAGGTATAGTTTATTATCCACTTTTCCCCCCTCTAAGGTGACAGATGTAACTACTGAATGTTTCTTTAGTATGATTCTATTCTTATTTCAGCTCAATTCAATAAAAAGATGTTATATTCTTATTTGCAGTTAGATGTCCATCTCATGCTTGTTTCTCTGGACAAACAAAGTACACCAAGTTTGCAGCAACCACACCTTTGCTGTCGACCAACTTTGTCTGTCAAGCATCTTTACGAAGTGAGATCCTGTTTTTCTTTGATTACTTGTTTCTAGTAGTGATAATTTTTGGTCAACTTTCTTTGAATTTGTTTATACCTCTTCCAGAAGGCCTAAGTATTTTTTACATCAAAGTTGTAAAATCAGTACCTGACTTTGTTGTTTGCACCTTTGACAGCGGAAGAAGCTAAAAAAGGATGATTTATTAATATATAAGCTCTGTTATTTTCTGTCCTTTCTTGATGAAAATGATTGCATTATATGGTTTTGTTAATGATTGTCTAATACTTCTGCATATTTTTTTCTGCTTAGTATGTTGCTCTTCAGACACCTTTGCCAGTTGAAGAAGTTGAGATACTGGCAGTTAAAGGATGGTGCAGTTCATATTGTGATAAATCATCAGATGAGAATTCAGCCCTGATACATGATGAGCTAACAGCGTTGGTTATAGATCCACGCAAAGATGAACTGGAAATTTTGCAAGGACATGAATCTCTGGCAGGGCTTAGATCCAAATGCATATCTAAAAGGGAGCATTTGGTGAGTATTAAAGGTGGTTTATTCCCCAATGTTATTTTAAGTAACAAGTAAATTTTATCCTTTTTTTTTGCTGTTTCAGATTCTGGCATACAGGCAGAAGGAAGCATTATAGTGTTGGTCTGATTGGCAGACTTTTGATGTAGACAATGCCGTAAGCTTATGTTGTATATACAGAAAGAAGAACAATTGCCTAGTCCATTTTCCAGTTGCATACTCAGTCCCAAAAAAGAAAGAAAGAAAGAAACTCTAGTATACTTATAAGAACCTCCCAAATGGTTATGCAAGCATTGTAATATCTTCAATAAGTTTTACACTTTCCTTTTCAAATATTAGTTACAGCTTCAATTTGATTCAATTTCTCTTAATTATCAGAAGTTTTGAGCGTGTTGATTCTATCATTATCGTAGCAAATCTCACCATCTTCGTTGTGAAAAATGAATGTTTTAATCAAAGGATTGATTTTGTTAAATAAACATTAATGAACATATATCACAAACTGGTATGGCTTTAAAAATGGAAAACAGATGCTGTCAACTTCATCTGAAGAAAAATTTAAATATACTTTCAGAAAATGAGCATTACACAGATTCCTAAGGTGAGATACTTGCAATCATCTTGTATTAGCAGCAGGATTAGTGATTACTTTGTTGATTACGTGCAAGTTTGGAGATTTGGGTTTTGTTGTATCCTTAGCAGACCTATTACATTATGCAGCATGGTCCAATATTAAGTATTTAAAATCGGATAAATGGTGTGGTAAAAAGGACCTAAAGTAGCCATTAATTAGTTTAGGAACAACCCATTTTGATAAATGTTTGTAAAGTTAACATAAACTTATAAGTATTTTACGTATTGAATGGAGTTGATTATTCCATAAACCTTGTCGTATATGATACATGATTTCTGTAACATGAGATGAGTAAATTTAATCAACTGTTTGTTATATCAATCACTTTCAGACTCTCCAACTGTTCCCATGGTTAAGTGCTGGGAGTTTTTTACAAGAAAAAACCTTAACAACTTACCATAATTCATGGGCCATGATATTTGCACATTTAATATGTACATTACGTGCTTGTTTTGAGAGAGCTTTATCTTCAAAAGCACTAGTATAACTGAAGCCCTCAACTAGCAAAACAATATTAGCAATGGCTCGCCTTCTAGCTTTTCTTACCCTTTTTATCCTGATATGTGGATCAGGAATGGCTCAAACTTCATCCATAGCTTGTGATCATGTGTACTGGGATTTTGTTACGTGCCTAAGGTACCTTGCAGGTTATGAATCGGACCCCACAATCCACTGTTGTAAATCTGTAGCCCAACTCAACATGGAAGCAGAGCAAAACACACAAACTATTTGTCAATGTATTGAGAACTTGGCAAAGGGTGTAGGTATCCAATTTGATGTGTCTCGTATTGTAGCTCTTCAGGGGAGGTGTCACATACCAATTACTTTCCCCATTTCTAATAGCTTAAATTGCTCCGAGTAAATCTTCTTCCAATACACTATCTCTCTTTCCCTTTGTTTATATATATATATATATATATATATATATATATATATATATATATATATGAGTTTACATTTCTACAGCTGATGTACGTGCAGCAATCAAATATTTGTCATATATATACTTGAATGCATTGAATGCAGAAAATTATAACCATACAAAAAATGAAAGCATTAAATGTGGGGAATCATAACCATATACCTATCGTTGCTATACGTAAAGCGGCTGCAGAAATGATTTTACCTATATATATATATAGGAGTTTACAATTCTGCAGCTGCTGTCTGTGCAGCAATCAAATATTTACCATATATATATTTGAAAGCATTAAATGTGGGGAATCATAACCATACACTGTAGTTACTGTACATAAAGCAGCTGCAGAAATGATTTTACCACACACACACACACACATATATATATATATATATATATATATATATATATATACACACACACAACAGATATAATAAGGTCTTTGTCTTTCTGCAGGATTCACTGAATAGAGAAACCTTTATGGTGTCTTGCTGGAAAGTGGGAAGGTGAAAAATAAAAGACAGGTTTATAATCATGAGTGAAAATAAAGTACATTTTATGTTATAGCTTCTCCACATTTTATTGTATCAAACAATTGTAAAGTAATTTTTATTTCAAAATGTTCACACTTATTGTTGTTCTTTCTCTGGCGGCAAAGATCAATTCTGGGTATGTATGCTACTGATGACCCAAATTAACTATAGGTATAATTTGTAGGTGAGAAGTGAAGGCAGAGATCAAACTTAAATTAAAATCACTTCCCATTAAACCCACAAGGGTGAGCTAGCAAGGGTGAGGTGATGACAATTCTTGTACGCAGCTTTACCTTGCATAATTGGAAAGAATCTATTTTTCAGATTTGAACCCGTGAACTTTCAATTACAAAGGAACAATTTTACTACCTCTTAGGATCGCCCTCTTTATAGATCAAACTTAAAATTACAGAGGAAAAATGAATATTTATATTTAGGAAAAATGTGTGTCATTTTAAATGACACAAACTTAAGTCCTTGTAAAAGAGACAGACACAAAGAGGTGGAATCCACACCTTTATTTTTTTTTTGTCTTTATTTTTTCAGTGGATTCCACATTTCTTTGTGTCTATATCTCTTTTAAAAAAACTTAAATTTGTGTCATTTAAAAGGAGACACACTTTTCCCTTATCCTTATTAATTACTTTGCATACAGGTGAAAGAAAGGGAAATATTTATCTCCAGTTTACCAAAAAAATAAATTTATATAAGGAAAAAATCTAAATAAACGTGGTCTGATTAGTATCATCCTTATCCTGTTATTCACACGTGATGCAGTTCATTGTCTAAGAATCTGTAGAGTTGAGGAAAGACATATAAGATCTCTTGTTTGAAATTGTCTAATGGCTGTCATATGAACACAAAAGGTTGTAGCTGGGAAAACATAAATTATTCATCACGAAAGAATACTGAATTTCAAATGCGTACCATAATTAACAAAATCTGAGTGAGATTATTCTTTTGGAAAGGATGGTTTTTAAGGCAAGTGCTGCTAAATGCACCATTTAATAACATTGTAGAATAGGAGAATTGCTGAAAACTTGAAATGAATTTTGTAGTAGCACTATTAGTAAACTTTAGAATCACCACATAAGATGTGGTGATTAGGTTTGGACAAAGTTTGCCAAAATTGCTATAGAAAATTTGTATGGTTGTTATCTGTCAGCATTTTCACAGAAGTTTTTCTCGTTCCTGACTTCATATGTTATTTAGCCACGAACTGGAATCCAATCATTTTGACATTATTTAAACTAAAGCTATTAGGATAGGTTATAACTCTATGACTTAGTAAATTTCCTTCGCTTTCATGGAAAAAATTGCAAATGAGACTGAAGAACAAGTGGTAAAGGTGGAACCCAAAACGGTAAATAATGTGAATGTTCAAGTAATACAACTTGTTTAGTCTTTCAACTCATTTGCTGAACAGTAATTGAGAAGTTTTTTTTAGTATTTTATATGGGTTTGTACTCAAATATTAATGTTCTTTCCATGTCTTTCTTAAAAATGTATATGAGAAAATGTTATGTGAATGTGATGACATAAATCAGAAGTTATTGAGTGCATTGCATCAGATGTGCATTATTAGCAAGATGGCTAACATGGCCAAAGTCCTGTGCTCTCACCCCATGGAATATGATGTAGTTTCAAAATTTAGGCAAGAACAGGACAAAAAATCAGGCTTAGATCATTGCCATATTTGATGGGCATTTAGACCATGATATTGCAACCTATTTGCGAAACCACCTTTTCGACAAAAACAAGTAACTTTCATATTACTTCAGTGTGGCTACATTTCTTAGAAATGATTCTTTGGTAGCCCCTATGTTTGATAGTTTCCACAATACCTTGATATCCCTTTTTCCTTCCAAACCTGTATCAAGTGATTCTTCTTTTATTTGTAATTGTCTTTACTGCATGCTGCATGAATTCTGGACTGAAACAAGAAGTGCAGTAAAGAGAGCTTACCTTAAAACATATAAGTAAATATTGGAACAAGCAGTTGTCTTGGGAAATGGAGGATCAACTGCAATGACTGCAATTCTGATTGATGGTGAGATGCTTGTTGTTGCAAATATGGACACTCTTGAACTGTTATTTGCAATTATGGAATTGCCAAGCAACTATTGTTGGATCATGAGCCAAAAAGAAGAAAGTGTTGGTGTTTCAAGGCTGCTGTTGATGTCCTATTTTTTAGGAGTTAATTAGTTGTTTTTAAAATTGATTAGTCTTTTGTTTAGGAGTTTGTTTACTGCATTTTACTGTTATTGCTTTGTTAGTTTGTTGCTGATTTTGTGGACCAACAAAATCAGCTGGTTAGTGGCAACCGCATGAGCTCAGTTTTGTATTTAAAACAAGTTCATTAGTCAGAATAAAAAATAAGCTGTTGCACAATATTGTTTCTGATGTTTGTTTTTCTCATAAAAGATCAACATTGGTATCAAGAGCCTTATTGATCTTAAGGGGCTGTGAGTGACTTGAGAAATTAATGGAGGGAGGATCGAGTGGTTTTTCAGCAATGGCTCCACCAATATTCGATGGAGAAAATTATCAAGCATGGGCAGTGAGAATGCAAGCCTATCTAGAGGGTTGCGATTTTTGGGAAGCTGTAGAACAAGATTATGAAGTTGCTCCCCTTCCTGATAATCCAACCATCAATCAGATCAAGTTTCATAAGGAGAGGATAACAAGAAAAGCAAAGGCAAAGTCTTGTTTATATGCTGCTGTCTCACCTGCCATTTTCAGCAGAATTATGGCTTGTGAATCAGCTCAAGCTATTTGGGACTTCCTCAAAGATGAGTATAAAGGAGATGAGAGGATTAGAAGCATGAATGGGCTGAATCTAATCACACAATTTGAGAGATTGCATATGAAGGAGTCTGAAACAATTAAGGAGTATTCTGATAAGTTGGTAAATATTGCAAATCAAGCAAGAGCTCTTGGCACTGACCTCTCTGATAATAGGCTAGTGCAAAAGGTTCTTGTCTCCTTGCCCGAAAGGTTTGAAGCAACCATTGCATCTTTGGAGAATACCAAGGATTTGTCTCAAATCAAGTTGGCAGAATTGCTAAGTGCTCTGCAAGCACAAGAGCAGAGAAGGTTAATGAGGGTTGAAGGAAGTACAGAAGGAGCTTTGCAGGCTAAAGAACAGTATAATGTAAGATGGAAGAAATGAGATGACAGTAGTGGTTCAGAAGCTGCTACAGGAGAGAACAATGCAATCAACTCTAAGAACAATTGGGGCGGGCATTCCTCATGTAAGCATTGTGGAAAGAAGAATCACCCACACTTCAGATGTTGGAAGAGGCCAGATGAAAAGTGTAGAAAGTGTCATAGGCTTGGACACATTGAAAGGTTCTGCAAAGAAAAGGGAGATCAGCAGCAAGGTGAGGCACATGTTGCAGACCAGCATGAGGCAGATCAATTATTTGCTGCCTGTTGTTTCTCCTCTAGTGCTCCATGTGATAGTTGGCTTGTTGATAGTGGTTGCACAAACCACATGACAAGTGATGAAAAGCTATTTAGAGACCTTGACAAGTCATTGCAGTCAAGAGTGAGAATTGGAAATGGAGAGTATCTAGAAGTGAAAGGTAAAGGGACTGTAGCAATAGAGAGCTATGCTGGAACTAAGCTAGTTTATGGTGTGATGTACGTGCCTGATATTGATCAGAATTTGCTGAGTGTGGGGCAGTTGGTAAAAAGGGATTTAAAGTGATATTTGAAGAAGGGAAGTGTTTGATCTTTGACTCAAATGGTCAGGAGCTGTTCAAAATAAAGATGCAACAGAAGAGTTTTTCTCTAAATCCCCTTGAGAAGGAGCAAGCAGCTTTCAAGTGTCAGGCTAGTGATTCAGAAATATGGCACAAAAGGTTGGGGCATTTTCATTACAAAGGCTTACTATTCATGCAGAAGAATGAAATGGCAACTGGGTTACCAATCCTGGAGGAGCAGATCACAAGGTGCAAAGCTTGTTTTTTGGGCAAACAGACAAGACTTCCTTTCAAAGAATCCACCTGGAGAGCTACAAAGAAGCTACAACTAATTCATACAGATCTTTGTGGTCCTCACGTGACTCCTTCACTAAATGGCAACAGGTATTTTCTTATCTTCATTGATGATTATACTAGAATGTGCTGGATTTATTTTATGAAGCAAAAGTCAGAAGTTGCTGAGATATTTCTGAAGTTTAAGAGATGGGTTGACACTCAAAGTGGCTGCAAAATTCAAGTCATCAGATCTGATAATGGAACAGAATACACTTCACAAAGGTTTAACACTTTCTGTGAGGAAGCTGGAATTGAGCATCAACTTACTGTTCCTTATTCTCCACAGCAAAATGGAGTTAGTGAAAAAAAGAATAGAACCATTATGGAAATGACTAGGTGTCTGCTGCATGAGAAGAATCTACCAAATTTTTTTTGGGCAGAAGCAGCAAACATAGCTGTTTTTTGTTAAATAGACTGTCTACAAGGGTACTGGAAAAGAAGACACCTTTCGAAGCTTGGTTTGGTTTCAAGCCATTTCTAAAAAATTTGAAAGTGTTTGGTTGTCTGTGTTTTTCTCACATTCCACAGGTCAAGAGAGACAAGCTGAGAGAAAAAGCTGAACCTGGAATTTTCATTGGCTGTAGTCTGGTGTCAAAAGCCTACAAGATCTATCAACCACAGACAAAGAAGGTGATCAATAGCAGGGATGTTCAGTTCCTAGAAGATGAGCAGTGACTGGACAGATGAGCCACAAGCAAAGCATAAGGAGGTCTCACTGGATTATGATGAGCTAGTAGATGATGATCCAATTAGAGGTACCAGATCTCTGACTGATATATATCAGAGGTGTAGTGTGGCTATTTTGGAACCTTCAAGTTATGAGGAAGCTAAAAGTGATCAGAGGTGGATGAATGCTATGAAGGAAGAGTTGGCTATGATAGAAAAAAGTCAAACATGGGAGCTAATAGAAAGACCTGAGGACAGGAAAGTGATTGGAGTAAAATGGGTTTTCAGGACCAAACTCAATCCTGATGGCTCAGTGAATAAGCATAAAGCCAGGTTAGTGGTGAAGGGATATGCACAGGTTTGGGGAGTTGATTTCTCAGAAACCTTTGCTCCGGTTGCAAGACTAGATACAATTAGAATGATTCTTGCCTTGGCAGCTCAACAAGGATGGAAAGTGTATCAGTTAGATGTGAAATCTGCTTTTTTGAATGGAGAGTTGCAAGAGGAGATTTATGTTGAGCAGCCAGAAGGCTTTGTCACACCAGATCAGGAGGAGAAGTTTTATTTGCTGAGAAAAGCTCTCTATGGTTTGAAGCAAGCTCCTAGAGCATGGTACAGCAAGATGGATGAGCACTTGCTGGGTTTGGATTTCATAAAAAGTCTTAGTGAATCCACTTTATATGTCAAGAAGTTAGCATCTGACTTAGTGGTGGTGTCTCTTTACGCGGATGATATGTTGGTAACTGGGAGTAATAATTCTCAGATTACTGCATTAAAAAGGGAAATGATGAAAACGTTTGAAATGACTGATCTTGGTGAGATGTCATATTTTTTGGGGATGGAGGTTAGACAAACTGAAAATGAAATTTTTATCTATCAAAAGAAGTACTTGAAGGAGATTCTGAAAAGATTCAACATGGAGGAGTGCAAGAGTGTAAGTACTCCAATGGGTCAAAAGGAAAAGTTTCAAAAGAAAGATGAATCAGAATCTGCAGATGAAAGAGTTTATAGGAGTTTAATTGGCTGCCTTATGTACCTCACTGCAACTAGGCCAGACATTATGTTTAGCGTAAGTGTCTTGTCTAGGTTTCTTAATTGTCCAAGTGAACTGCATATGGTAGCTGCAAAAAAGGGTGTTAAGGTACTTGAAAGGTACTCTTTCATATGGAATCAAATTCTGCAGAATTCAGAAGTTTAAGTTTCAAGGGTATTCTGATAGTGACTGGGCTGGTTCAGTGGATGATATGAAAAGTACTTCGGGTTATTGTTTTACATTTGGGTCAGCTTGTTTTTCTTGGTGTTCAAAGAAGCAGGAAATAGTGGCCCAATCAACTGCAGAAGCTGAGTTCATTGCAGCTACTGCAGCTGTAAACCAAGCATTATGGTTGAAGAAGTTGATGGATGACCTGCATTTGGAGCAAAAAGAAGGCATAGAAGTATTTGTGGATAATCAAGCTGCTCTAGCTATTTCACAGAATCCAGTATTTCATGGAAGAACAAAGCATTTTAAGATCAAGTATTATTTTTTGAGAGAAGTGCAGAAGGCTGGAGAAGTGAAGCTAATGTACTGCAGTTCAGAAAACCAAATTGCAGATATATTCACCAAGTCATTTCATGTTAGTCGATTTGAATTTCTCAAGGAGAAGCTAGGAGTGTGCAACACTTGATCCAGGAGGAGAATGTTGGTGTTTCAAGGCTGCTGTTGATGTCCTATTTTTTAGGAGTTAATTAGTTGTGTTTTAAATTGATTAGTCTTTTGTTTAGGAGTTTGTTTACTGCATTTTACTGTTATTGCTTTGTTAGTTTGTTGCTGATTTTGTGGACCAACAAAATCAGCTGGTTAGTGGCAACCGCATGAGCTCAGTTTTGTATTTAAAACAAGTTCAGTCAGAATAAAAAATAAGCTGTTGCACAATATTGTTTCTGATGTTTGTTTTTCTCATAAAAGATCAACAGAAAGGAATAATTGAGAGCTGTGGTGGTTTTGTATCAAGCATTCCAGGTATATCAATCTTCTTGAGTTGTTCTCAGAATCTTTAGTAAAAATTGAGTTTTACTTTTTATATAATACAAGTTTTACATCTGCTTGGGTTAATCTGTTGGATTCTAATGTGACAATCATTTGAATTTATAAAGTTGTTATTAAGGACATTCTATGCAAGTATGATTGACATGGGTCCATATTAACTTAAAATGGTATTGGAGAAATGTACCATAATCTATATTCTATATATTTATTTATTGGAAAGAGACAATTTATTAGAAAAACTGAACAACAGTTTGCAACAATTGAGTATTTGCTGCACAAAGTGTTGTGATGCATAGAATCAGAGACTTCACTCTCAAATCGATATAGTCCCTTGATTTCTAGATACCAAATGAAACAACTACAAAGAGTCAGTCTCAAAAACAATTGGCTGATCTGCACAAGAAGATGCTAGATTTCATTTTACACAGATAAAGGTTGAAGCCATGTTTTGTTCTGTATACTATGTAGTTTGGTAGAATCGAAATGTTCAACATCTCAATCTTCTATCTCTCAGGTGAACCATATTTGGCTGAGATGAAAGTAGCAGGTAGGTGGAAAAATGAGAAATATAAACTCTAGAATCAAAATAACTTTACAGTCCAAGTGTGAACAGTACACTTGGTTAGTATAACAAAATTTGGTTGAAACTTGAAAGCGGGTAATCAATTAATTGTCAATTCATTTTTTTACCTTCTACCAAGAATCAAAGAGTGAATGTTAACCAAATGGTGAGGTAATAGCTCAGTTAGCGCATAGGATCTAAGCAGGTGGGGTAAGAGTATGTGTTCGAATCTTTCCAGTACTACCTTTGAGAGGGGTTTAAAGCCTTAATTCTGGATCCGTCCCGAATCGAATTAGTTGCGAAGCAATAAACCGATTGAAATATTAAAAAAAAAAAAAAGTGAATGTTAAATTTTGCCTTAACTAATGGAGGGCATCAAATAATAGGCCAATATAGAATTAACTCAATCCATTTTTAAATAAATAATCACACTAATAAAAATAATCATACAAATGAACCAAAATGCTTGAACTCAATTCCCTTTTACTGAAATTATCCAAATAACGAAGTATCATTAATTCATTGAATTAGCCTCTAACTCTAAAATAGTGTGTGTGAAAGGGAGTTATGAATTTGAGGTGGGAGAGTCTAAAGCTTCACACTTTCTCTAGTCTTTTTGCATGCAGTTACCTAAATTTCAGCTTGTATATTGGTTTGATATTGAGAAAGTGTCTCAGTTACGGTTCACCCTCCATTATGTTTATTGAATATTCTTCCTAGGGAAAGAAAGTACAGTAAAAAAGCTTTACAGCAAGGATGGATGGTCCTTAAAGTTTGGTCCGATTTTCTCTAATTCTAACTGTGAGAATCAGAAGGGACTAATTTGTTTTAATGAACCTGACGTTATCTGCATTCAATGACATCAACTCGAAACTGACATTATAGTTTATATAATAAGATAGAAACAATGACAAATGGCTTTACCTTAACAGGTCAACAATGATAACATAATCTTATTTTCAGAAAAGCTAATACCTCTATAATTTGTACTTATATTTCCTTCCTTTTCATAATGAGTTCTTGACACATCCAATGTTTCATTGAGGAATTTGTAACCAATTTCTCAATCATATAATAATACATTACTTCTCTCTTCTATAGTCTGAAATGAAGGGATAAGCTTTTGCATCAATCTAAAAAAGAAATTAATAAAACTGATGACAAGTTAGTCCATGATTCATATTTGTCGTATAACCATGACTTACTTGTAATGCATGCGATGATATGATGAAACAAACATCAAATTAAAGTATCCTTATCTTAAAATTAATTTTAAGCACAATTTTCAATGACTGCAATTTACACATTTCCTAACCAGCATAATTAATGGCTTCTTATCCGTCTTAGGTGGTGTTTGGATGGGCTTTTTTCAAGTCAAAAGCTACTTTTTTTCTGAAAAAAAGGACTTCTGGCATTTTTATGATATTTGGATGGTGGCTTCAAAAAAAAGCAAAAGCCAAAAAAAAAGCTAAAATTCTACATTTTCAAAAAGCTAAAAAATGTGACTTCTTGGAAAAGGAGAAGCCAAAAGCCATCGACAAAATTGCTGGACTCATTTTACCCTACTCATTCAAGAACAAACTTCAATTCTCACTCAGAAGCCAAAAAAGATTGAACCACGCCACCGACGACAGCCAAGGATCGCAGACTCCAGCGACAACCACAACTTCCGCCATGAAACATACATGAGCTCGACGACGAGCAACACTTTGGTCTCTCAGTCCCTCCAGCGGCAACCACGTCTGCGTCGGGTTTCAAGAGGACGAGGGCTCGGATTATCGAGTGGTGGTGTTGATGATACTCATGTGGAGGAGAAATTAGGGCATTTGGGGTTGAGGGAATTGATTGATACCAAGGATTCCACCTGGTGTCGGCTTCTTCATCGGACCATCAATGCATCGTTCTCTTCTTTTATTTTTTATTTTGTTTTATTAAAATTTTAAAAATAAAAATTGAATCTTTATGAATCAGTGTTGTTTTGTGTTGTTGTTGTTGAGACTGGACAATGTGTAAGGCTGGAGACCTTCTTGCTGGAAAGATTGTGGCTTTGAAGAAGGTTAGAATCTAATCATGTGCAGCAAAGTGTGAAGTTCATGGCAAGATAAATGGCAGCTAAAGCGAAAAAAGAAAGAAAAGAAAGGGGCATAATAGTCATTTACATTTAAAAGTTGTTTTTTATTTTACCATCCAAATAACATTTTTACTTAAAAGCACTTTTTAAATATTGTATCCAAACGCAAAATAATTTTAACTTTAAAAAAAAGTTCTTTTAAAAAAAGTAATTTATAAAAAGTCCTTTTTTTCAAAAGCTCATCCAAACGAGCCCTTATATATATTATCACATCTTACTTGAGGTTCAACCACCTCACTGCTTCAGTAGTTGATTAACCATTATTTTATGGACAAGAGAATATTATTTTTCTTAACCTTATAGTTATTTTTTCAGACTCATAACAATGGTTTTATTATATATATTATAATAATTCTAAAACTCAGAAGGGAAGATAATTCCCAAACTTTTTTAAAGAGGGACAATCGGTCAAATATTTTATTGAACACTACTTTTGAGTCAAGAAGGAGAAAGAAAAAAAGGATAAAGCAAAACAAAATACAATGAAACTGACTATAGAATTTGTAGCCAAATTGAAGAAAGTGCCATTACATGGAGCCCTCTTGGGTAAACCTAACGTGATCTAGAATTTTCATGCTACCTGTGGTGCAAACATCACCCAAAAATGAGATCCAAAACCTCGCAGATATTTCTAACAGAGAGCTTGTAGGACAATTACACATAGCCAAAAATCCTGCCCCATATGAATTATCAAACTGCCACATACCCTCTTTTGCATGCTCATCTCAAATGCTATGCAGCCACGCATCTCCTCACCCATTCCTATAACCTATCCTTGTCACCATTTCTTTCTCATCTCACACTCTATTCTTTCTCTCTCTCTCTCTCCTCAACCCCCTATATAACTCACCCCGTTTTTCCCTCCACAATAACATAGTCACCATTTTCATATACTCTTTCTTTCTCATTGTTACTATTCTTATTTTTCACTCTTTGTTATCATTTTACAAAAACACACACACAAGGTTGCCAAAATGAGCAGTGTATGTGCTGATCAGCAACACAAGTTTCATTCTTCTCACCAACTCCTTTCCCCAAAAAAATCCCTAAGAGAAATTGACATCCCACCAAGGAAACTCCTTACTCGCCGGGCCGCCGCTGCCACACATGATGGCGCTGCTGTCGACATGTACTCTGATGAGACCATCCTGCAGAAATTCCTCCCTTACAACAATCTCGCCGACTCGGACTCCGATGACCCGTACTCATCCGACCACTTTCGGATGTATGAGTTTAAGGTCCGCCGGTGTACTCGCAGCCGAAGCCACGACTGGACAGACTGTCCTTTCGCACATCCGGGAGAAAAAGCCCGTCGCCGCGACCCGCGACGATATCATTACTCGGGTACCGTGTGTCCCGAGTACCGCCGCGGAGGATGCAGCCGCGGCGACGGCTGCGAATACTCTCACGGTGTATTCGAGTGCTGGCTGCACCCTACCAGGTACAGAACAGAAGCATGCAAAGACGGAAAAAACTGCAAGCGAAAGGTGTGCTTCTTCGCGCACACCCCTCGCCAGCTCAGAATTTTGTCATTAAATTCCAACACTGATTGTTCAAACAACAACATCACATGCAAGAAGAGCAACAAGTTCTTGAACCCTGCTTCGGGATCAAACAATAGCTGTTGTGTGTTCTGTTGTCATTGTGCTTCTGCTTCGCCAACTTCCACGCTTTACAACATGTCCCACAACTTTTCTCCGCCGCTGTCGCCGTCGTCATCTGCCTCGCCGCCTCTTTCTCCGGCATCGAAACGGGTTTCCACCATTTCTCGCTACGGTGCATCATGTTGTAGTGTGAATCATCATCATCATCATGGGGTGGTGAGCTACAAAGACGTTCTCACTGAGCTTATGAGTTCTTTGGAGGGTTTGAAATTCGGTGAGGGTTCCCCTGTTTCTGCTTCCAAAGCACCAAACCTGAACCTGCCTTGGCTTGATGTTTCTCTCAATTGTGAGGATCAGAAACAGTTCATTGTTTCGCCTTCGGTTTCTTCTTTCTTCTGTGAAGATCAGCAGCAACAGTTTATTCTTTCACCTTCAACTCAGACACCGACAAGCTCCAATGTTAAGTATTCGAACAGCAAAATTTTCAGCAATAATAATAATAATGATAATAAGGTTGTTGCTGCTGACATAAATGGCCCTGATCTCGGGTGGGTTAATGAGTTGCTGATGTAGAGGGTGAAGATGATGACAAAAATGAATGATGAATGAGTCACAAATCAAAGTGTAAATACAGTGGAGCAATATCAACATATCCAAATGCCGTCTATTGTTAAATTATTGTTTCAAGTTGTTGTCTATTCTTAATTGTTAATTATTGTTAATTTCAAGTTCATTGCTTTCTCAATTTGGTGTTATGTTTGTGACAATTCTGTAATTTATGCATTTATGCATTTGGAATATTATATAATTTCATCTTCTTTTCATGTATAATAAGGGTTCATGATGCTATTTTTTTAATTTTTTTTTTTAACTTTATTATTTTACTCTTCAAGTTTTCATTAGCTTTATTTGCTTGGTGATGGTTAAAGTTCCGTGGTAAACCTACCCTAAAGAAGCTGAATCTATGGGAGGAAAAATCGTGATATTTTGGTAATTCTGTTAGCCTTTTGAAATAGAGAAAACGGATTCCTACACATGGCAAGCATGCAATCTTTGTCGTGGCAACACATCATATTAAGATAAACTTAGAATTTTTGTTTTTCTTTTCAATATTGGTAATAAATAAGATATTTTATATTCTTTGAACGTTTGACTCCATATTAAATATGGAAAAATTAAGTAAACAATGGATATTTAACATGAAGCATGATGTGGGCACGCAAAATATTAATTAGTCGACCGGGAGAAAAATATAAATCCAACACTCCCTAAAGGAAAAAGAAAAAGAAAAAATCTTCATAGCTGCAAATAATGAAACATTGCTAACCTTTATTATTTAGTAAATTTTGTTGAATATTCCTTTGAGGGTCATCATCTTTTTTGTTGAGCCAAAGATTAAGAAAAGAAAACCAAAAGGAAGAAAAGTTGAGTTATCTAGCATGTCTTGCTGTTTTATTGTTCTTTTGCCTAACAAAATCTTACGTTTTTTAAACTGGAAACTCGTCCATAATGAAGGTTACTAATGTCTCATATGCAAACAAAAATAATAATTCCTGATTTGAATTGAATTAAAACGTATATTAAGTTGTACATATATAATAGTTTATTGATTGTGAGAGAAAATTTGAGTTCGATAAAGAGAGGTGTAAAGCTTTAACTATATAATGAAATATTGACTGAGATTAATTTTGTAGTCGGCTCAAAAGATTAAAATTTAGATTAAAATTTATAGGAATAAATGAGGACAACTTTATCCTAAAGAAATAATTAAGATGAGTACAAAAAAAACATAAAAAAGTTTTTGTCTGTACCAGTCGAGAGTAGAAAATAGAATCGGTCGAATCTTTAATGTTCAAAGCGAATAATAAAGTCATTTCATAAATTGTAATAATTAAACGATAAAATTTCCAAAAAAACCTTAGGGGTGATAAGTTAGTCGCAATCACAACTCATATGTTCATATTTTAATAAGTTTAAGATCGGATGAGTTTCGATGAGCTTAAATTGACACTATTATATATTTAAAAGATGAGAAATGTTTTTTATGTTGTATGAGATAATTTTGTCTCGTACACGTAAAAAGCGGGTGAAACTCACTTTTTTTATTTTTTCTTTTATCTTTAGGAGATTCCACTCGCTTTTTGTGTGTTGCATGAGATAATATCTTTACCTCAAAATTATTTCACGCAACATGAGAAACATATTCCCCTAATTTTTTTTTAATCTAAAACATAGTAAATATCAACATCAACTTCAACAACACTTTTATCCTAAACTAATTGGGGTCGGTGGTAGATGAACCCAAATAAAAGATATGAAGAAATTAAAAAAATATAAAAATAAAATTTAAGTGTATATATATATATATATATATATATATATATATATATATATATATATATATATATATATATATATATATATATATGGTTCGCTTTTTCTACCGTCATATAGATAATTTATTTACATTGAGCCCAAAATGACGTCGTTTTGAGACGAAAATCAAGGTATTTTTATAATTATAATTTATTTAAGGATTATAATAGTCTTTTTATTATAATTTTTAATTTTTTAACCCAAAACGACGTCGCTTTTGAAACAAACGTAGATAATTTATTTGCATTTACTGTAGAAACATTAAAGCCATATATATATATATATATATATATATATATATATATATATATATATATATACATATTATTTTATATTTTATATTTTTTTGTCTTACTTTCTTTGTTTTTTTTGCCCTCCTATATATCTCTATTTTTAGTTTACCTTAATATACTTTTCCTTTTAATTATTTATCTCTATATATAAGTAAAAATAAAAAGGGTGTGGAAATAAAAGAGAAAGAAAAAGAAGGAGAAAATAAAAGAAGAGGGGGGAGACAATGAGAAAAAGAATTATAAATAATACATTAAAATCGGAACAAGAAATACATGCAATACATATAAATATCACGGTGACAACCTATGAAGCACCGACACTTCAAAAATCTTGACGTGTTGTTTCCGACACTTCCCGACACTCCGACACTCCAATACTCGTTGTAAAGACTCAAAAAAAGTTCAAAGGTTACGTTGCGTTGTATTTTGAGTTCAAACTATTAGTTTCGTTAGATTAGAATTACGATTTTAATATAAAATTTGGGATATATTATATTTCTTTGCAAAATTGACGGGTGTTATAAGTTTAGCTTTATTTTTTGTTAAACTATTAATACTAAATATAATATATACTACATAAATTAAAAATATTATATAATATCAAAACTTATCTTAACATGTCAAAATTTAATATTTTTTAAAACTAACGTGTCAAAATATCGCCGTATTCCGTATCGGTGTCGATGGTGAAAACAATTTTGTAACTTTAACAGAGTGCACATTTATTTATGCTGTCCAATCTTACGTTTTATAAACTGGAAACTCGTCCATGATGAAGGTTACTAATGTCTCGTATGCAAACAAAAATAATAATTAGTAACATCCACGCGAAAATACGAGCTAACTTTTTATTTTTCTTTAATACTTTTTCTCATGATATATCACAATGCATACTTCTTCTAGTTAAATTCTTATTTGTCGGAGACGAAAAATCGAACAGAATAACCTCTGTAAATCGAACAACTCGAGATTTGAAAATTCCACTCTAAAGGTCTCCTGATAAACAGCTTATATAATATATTACTTCCACACTACCAAATATCCATATAAGACCATATACTCATCCATGAGCGCATGCATAACTTGGCTCTGTGTCACTATGTCTAATAGCATGCATATCCAACATGTAATCTAATAACTGAATACTACATCATAATATAAACATGCCTGAATACACAATTGTACATGCATCAAAGCGGAAACATGTACAAAATATATACAAGTCATATACAAGTATCAGATCAGACATGATTGTAACGCCCCGTTCTAGAACCGGTTTGTTAACATCGCATTATGATATTAAGCGCAGTTACAATCACAAGGGTTCAATTAAAATCCGGATAAATTTTTCATTTTTAAAACATACCGAACTTACAATACCCAATTCCGTGATCATAACCATATTACCTTGCGGAATCAGATAAATTAAGCTTAACATCATGTTCTTATTCCATTTTTAAACCATTAATTTACTTCCTATTTATCTCACAACTTCTACTATATTGTAGATCTCTTCATTAGCTACACGTGGCTTCAAACCGTGCTCAAATCGGAGCACTGTAGCCCAATTTATGACAATCGGAAGCAACACAAGAGAGTGTTGGTCACAGGCCCCGCGCGCTTCAGCGCGCTACCGGGTGCTCAAGCGCGCGTTATCGGGCGCTAAAGCCTCCATCTGGGCGCTTAAGCGCACGGAGGCAGGAAGCATCAGGTATTTCAGTGTAAATGGGCGCTTAAGCGCGCATCAGGGCGCTCAAGCGCGCTATCCTGGGCGCTTAAGCTCCCATTGGGACGTTTTAGCGCGCAGAGACAGAAGCATCTCCTCCTTCAGTGGCTAAGGGCGCTCAAGCGCGGACCAGGGCACTCAAGCGCGCAACCCTGGGCGCTTAAGCCCCACTCTGGGCGCTAAAACTCGAGGAGACAGTAAGCCTCCCTTCTTTCTGCAGCGAAGGGCGCTTAAGCGCAAGCTAGGGCGCTCCAGCGCGCAATCCTGGGTACTTAAGCCCCCACTTTGGACGCTCCAGCGCGAGGAGGCCGAATGCATTGGCACTCACAGGGGCAGCAGGGCGCTTAAGCGCGCTGCCAGGGAATTCCAATTCCCATATTTTTCAAGTCCAAGTCTAGGGGAAGATGCATCCCCATTCCAAACCCCAATTGTCCATGCCCCAAAACTAAATCCTAGCACTCATCTAACCTCTCCTCATGAGATTTAGCTAGAATTTGGGCAGCATAACCGTTGTTTTCTCATCGTTTCCCAATTTAAACAAAAGGTACCTAATTGATTCTCAGCCCAACCAATTCAATAACTCAATACATAACAAGCATGCATATATTGAATTTCAAGTAGGCATCATTTACCGTACATATCCATTACTAATCATGGAACTTAGCTTACAAAACACTATGATCATTCCCTTGGCTCCCATCAACAAAAGAGATGACCAAAGGCATGAGCATAGGCTAAGTCCATTCCAATATACAAATCATAAATCTAGCATTGCCTATTAATTACAATTCTATACATGTGAGCTACAAAACAACATGTATAATCTCAAAAGAAATGCCACATTTCACGCATATGCTAATCCAGATATGGCCACTTGCCACCAGAGGCTCCTGCAGCATCCTTACCTGAAAGGGGGTCCCCACAACACGGGGTGAGATATACGAATATATCCAGTAAACCAGGGGTCCTTGGAGCATCTCTCCACCCCACAGTTCCATATCAGTGTAATAGCAATAACAATAATAATGCAGTAAATACATATCCATGCAAAGTGCAATACATCTTCAGGAGAAATCCCTCGAGCTCTCAAGCTGTCCTAAGGAAACTCAGATGCAAATAGTCCTACTGGCCAGCTAACTACCAAGTATGATTTATGCATCGTCATGCAACATACCAACATAGGGAAACACCATCCTATGCCACACCAAATGCATACACATACGTAT